GAAAAAAATTATTTGCTCAATTTCCTGTCCCACCAATAATAAATAGGCCTGTATCAACTGAAAATGACAATTCTCTGCCAGCTTACATGATTGGATGAGGAAGATGAGCCAACAATTTATGCATACGGTGGATAACACTAATACTTCTATTTTTACTACATATTGTTTTTGTCACATCATTTATCTTCGTAACAGCTAATGTATTCAACATGCTTGCTTCAGATACCGTGTTAAGCATTACCTCATTTTATCCTAACAGACCTGAAGAGTAGGATACAATGCACTTCATAATCTTACTGTCAAAGCTAAATGCAGTGGCTCAGAAGATGCATATAAGCAGCAATTCAGAAAGAATGATTTGATCCTGGAATCAATTCTGATGTAAAGTGGGAAAAGGAGGCTGGCTGTCTTCCTTTCAACAATATGCATAGTGTGGTTCACACATTGTATATTTAAAATAAATACCCAGTTTCAGATAGCATTCAAAATGTTAGAATGGAATGGAATGATACAGAATGGAGTGGTGTATGCATTTAAGGATACAGGCCATGACTCTGTTTATTTTTACTTAACTATACAGCACAGCTTCTGAAGAGGGAAATGAAGAATTGCACAGTTGGTCCAATTAATGCAAATGAAATATCTCAAAGTCTCACAGGAAAAGGAAATGACAGTGAAGATGAGATGAGATTTCGAGAAGCTGTTACGGAACAAATGAGCAACATGGAGAAGAGAATCCAATATATTTCAGATACAGAAGCCAATCTCATAGATTCATTGCATTTCCAAAATTTTAGTCTGGTGACTGATCAAAGATTTAATGATGTTCTTCTCCAGTTGAGTACCTTGGTTTCCTCAGTTCAGGGACACGGAAACGTGATAGATGAAATCTCCAAGTCGTTAATAAGTCTGAATACCACATTGCTTGATTTGCAGCTCAGTATCGAAACACTGAATGGCAAAGTCCAAGACAATACATTAAAACAGCAAGAGGTAAGAGCTTTTATATTAGAATGTCACGTGCCGGGATTGAATCCATCTAGATCCTATCTCCTCAGACAGTTCAAGAAAACAAAATTTGCAAACCCTGTTTCAACATCATCCAATTTACCCTGATTCCTCTGGCAATCTTACCAGAAGGTTGTACATGAATTTACCTACTGTCTTCTCCAGGTTCCCGACAAAATGGGGGACTTTTTTCCATTGGATATAGACTCTCTTAAGGTATTTTAATTCTGTAAATCCTGTTATACTACCTCTTTGGACTGTCTAAACCAATTACAATTTTTAGATTATCTTAGTGGGTACTCTGTATTTGTAAATTTTACAACAGACCCAAATTTCTTCATCATCAAAGAAATGGGAACCTCATTTACATGAGTAACATACAAAATCTACATTTTAAAATAGTTTATTTTGGCATTCCCAAGAAGTATACATAAGTTTTAACATGTAAAGATAACTATAATTAAAGAGTTAAATTTTGAATAATACAACATTTTATTTTTATCATAGGATCAAATACACAAGATAAGAGACCAAGCCATGTTTAGACCAACTTGTCAACAAAAGTTTCATTGTAAAGGGCCAGATGTGAACAGTTTAGTCTTTGGGGACTTCGAGGTCTCCTTTGTGACTATTCAGCTCTGCTATTCTAGTGCATAAGCAGCCAGAAACACTATGTAGACACAGGAGGGAAGCTGTGGTCCAGTTAATCTTTGTTTACAAAAACAGACCAGCGCCTGGATCATAATTCTCTCACTTCTGCTATAGACTATCCTGTGGCCAACCCGCCAGATTACTTTGTATTGATGAGAAAGAAATTAAAAAGCAAGCCCCTGATTTCAAAATTGTATTTTTTTGGTTGTTAAATAATTATAATTGTTCCATCCCATGAAAAATAAGCATATGACTAAAATTTAACTACTCTTGTGAAAAAAGAATCTTTGTATTATCAAATATCTAAGACCTAAGATCATTTAATGTGAAGCCTATAATATTTCCACCATTAGCTAAGCAACGTTGGCATCTTGGTAGTAGATTTTATTTGAATAGACCCATGTTTGATTATTGAAGTTGTTTTCTGTATAGAGACAGTATTAACAGTAGTGATTTTTAAAAGTGGATGTCACTTACAGAGTAACAATAAACCTCTAGAGTTAAAACATCAGATGAAGACCGACTAAATTATTGACTAGGGAGTAGAAAAAAATGGTTAAGAAGAAATAGTCTACATCTTTATATGTAAGGTACAATCACTCAGAACTTTTGAATTTCACATGATCCTGGTTTTAAGATTTCAGAAGACAACAGCATAGCTATATAAATATGGGGACTTCGTTGGTAAACCTCATCCCAACACCAGCCTTGATAATCCATGTCACATCTTCCAAAATCTGACTGTAAGCATTTCCCACACTGTTAATAAGTATCTAAGTATATCCCTTACTATTGAAATATCAAGGACTCTGGGGCACCTGGGTGGCTCAGTCGGTTGGGCATCTGCCTTCACCTCAGGTCATGATCCTGGGGTCCTGGGATCGAGCCCTGTGTTGGGCTCCCTGCTCAGTGGGGAGCCTGCTTCTCCCTCTCCCACTCCCCCTGCTTGTGCTCTCTCTCTCTGTCTCTGTCAAATAAATAAATAAATAAACAAATAAATAAATACAATAGAATCTTAAAAAAAGAAATATTAAGGACTTAGGCTATGGAAGGGTAGAGAGAGTCACAAGATAGTAACTGTTTGCAGGGCAGAAGAATATGGGAGATAATAAAATTTCAGTTATGAGAGTAATAACTGATTAAGTTGGAGGGAAAGAGAAAGGGAGAAGAAATATTACTTTATGTAAAAACAGAAGAGCAGTGAAAGAGAGCAAGAAGAAAGTTAAGATGGACCAGATGCACAGACAGGATATATTTGGTATTGCTAATGTCCCAGATTCAGTAGAGACCATAGGATATCTATGAACTCACATCAAGAGTTGAAACCAAACTGGAAGCTATTTGGAAGACAGTAGAAGTCTTGAACATGTTTGAAGTGATAATTACTGGAAATAATCAAACTTTGGTGATCAGTAAACTCTTTGAGTTCGGATAGATCACACTCGTTTTGGAGAGGGTCCCAGCATTAGAAATGAAGTTACAAGGGAATGGAGGGACTTCCCAAGCTTTTTTTTTTTTTTCCCCCAGGCAACAATCACTTGTAGAGATTTAGAAACTATGTCAGTACCAGTGTATGTATACGGATGTGTGTGTGTGTCTGCACACATGTGCTCGTTGAAAACAATATTCGGGCTCTCATCTCCATTGCTTAAACAATCTTTTTTAAAGATTTTATTTATTTATTTATTTGACAGAGAGAGACACAGCAAGAGAGGGAACACAAGCAGGGGGAGTGGGAGAGGGAGAAGCAGGCTTCCCGCAGAGCAGGGAGCCCGATGCGGGGCTCGATCCCAGGACCCTGGGATCATGACCTGAGCCGAAGGCAGATGCTTAATGACTGAGCCACCCAGGCGCCCCTGCTTAAACAATTTTATTCATCTTCGAATCTTTAGCTCAATGCAGGAATAAGTAAATTAAATGAATGCCCGAATCAGTAAATGCTGTTTGAAGGAAAGGCTTATAAGTGATACCAGCATGATGCCTATCAAGGACAGACCAAACATCAGTTTGAGGGAAAAAAAAGTACACTAGCACAAAAGAAAAGAGAGAGGTGGGAATTCATCACGTCCATTGTTCATAAAAGGGACTGTAAGACTGCAAAATTAAATGCCAGTTTCCAGCGGGGCCGCTGATGGTGGAGTATGGAAGGTGTGTATGGATGCTGAATAAGGTTTTAAAAAAAAAAAATAAAGTGCACTTTCCTTCTTCCCAGTAAAAATTATTTCAAGTGAAATCTGGCTAATACGAGCACCATATGCAGTGTTCAAAAAAGGGAATAAAAAGGTAGCTTCAGCTTTGTGTATGAAAAACACGGACAAGTCCTGTTTTTTTGGTAGCAAAATCAACTGCTAGCCCCCTGCCATCTGCTCCATGGCTATCTGGAGCGACCCAAATGAAGGTGAGCGTATTTTTTATGTTGCTGTGCTTTACAAACATCCATGCTCATATCCAAGCTTTAAACATGTTTTTCCAAATGGTATTTATTTTTTTAAAGATTTTATTTATTTGTCAGAGAGAGAGCACAAGCAGGGGGAGTGGCAGACAGAGGGAGAGGGAGAAGCAGACTTCTCGCTGAGCAAGGAGCCCGATGCGGGACTTGATCCCAGGACCCTAGGATTAAGACCTGAGCTGAAGGTAGATGCTTAACCAACTGAGTCACCCAGACGTCCCAAAATTGTATTTATTTTAAATGTCATATGAGTTTCAGGTGTACAATGTAGTGATTTGATAATTTTATACATTAATGAATACCACCAAAATGTAGTCACCATCCATCCCCATACATCTCACAATATTATTGGCGGTATTCCTTGTGCTGTACTTTTCATTATCATGACTTGTAGCATATGATATGGAAAATGCCAGATAGTCAAGGAAGGAGGAGATAGAGAGTAGAGACAAAAGAATATGGATGTGGATGGGGGGAAGGCACAGTTAGAGCTGTAAAAACTGATAAGCTTCTCTGCTTGAGTGTAGTGCCACCGAAGAGGCCAATCGAGGTGTCTGTTCATTTCCTTTCAAAGGCTTTACACCCTGACTGCCTTGACCCCCTCACTTCAACTTGTCCAGTCTAGTCAAGGCAAGTGTAATTTTCTCTTTGTACCTGGATTCGGGAGCAATATACCACTGGCTTATTTCTATATGCCAGTGGGAAGTGAAAATACATCAGCAGTTAAGCAGAGATGTCCTTAGAAAAGTATAGAGCAGACGGGCTTGGGCAGCTCCTCAGTGGGTGGCGGTGGTGGCCGTAGGGGTTCCTCCTGGCCCTGGTTATGTCGGGGCCAGTCCCGGGGAGGATGGCATCCTAGAGGCCAGCCTTGCTGGGGTAGGGGCGGGAGGGGTCGGAGTGGGCACCGGCCATGTTGGAGGTGACCTGGATGGAATCTGCTGCAGCGCTGGGGCACCAGTTTTAGGAGAGGCGCCAACTCCTACTCTTGGGGCCAGCTGGTGGAGGCAATAGACGAGTATCAGATATTAGGATAAAAAGAGGCCCAAGCTCAATACAATAATTCTGAATTCACAAAGAACAAAAGAAAACCATAGGCAAAATTGCAACATGTTTGGAATTATGAAGTGCAGCTTTATAGTCCAGTCTCAAGAACTTAAACTTGAGGACCTGAAGAAGCTAGGACCAATCCTAAAGAATATTACATATAATAAGGAATTCCCATTTGACGTGCAGCCTGTCTCCTTAAGAAAAATTTTAGCACCTGGTGAAGAAGAGAATTGGGAATTTGAAGAAGATGAAGAAGAGGGTGGTGCTAGAGCAGGGTCTCCTGATTCCTTTCTTGCTAGAGTTCCTGGCACTTTCCTACCCAGGCTGCAGTCAGAACCAGGAATAACGTCACTCACCATCAGAATTGAGAAAACCAGTCTGAAAGATGCGGGGCAGTGCATCGATCCCTATATCACAGTTAGCCTAAAGGATCTGAATGGCATAGATTTAACTCCTGTGCAAGATATGCCTGTGTCTTCAAGAAAAGAAGATATGTACGTTCATTTTAATGTGGACATTGAGCTCCAGAAGCATTTTGAAAAATTAACCAAAGGTGCCAGTATCTTCTTTGAATTCAAACACTACAAGCCTAAAAAAAGGTTCACCAGCACCAAGTGCTTTGCTTTCATGGAGATGGATGAAATTAAAGCCGGGCCAATTGTAGTAAAACTATACAAGAAACTCACTGACTTTTAAAAGAAATTGCAGTTATTGACCAAGAAACCACTTCATCTTCATCTACATCAGACTTTGCAGAAGGAATGATCCCGACATGAGTCACCTGGAACGTCTGTGAATTCTCCCACCCAGTAGCAACCCTCCCGGCTCCACATAGCGCATTCCTCCTCCCCAAGGCAGGAGGCAGGGCGTGCCCGTGGGATTCACAGTCCAGCAGGCCATTGACATAGACGACTCCTTTGGATACGGACTTATCGTAGTTTTGAAACATGTTTTTACCTTTATAGTATTTGTGCAATTCATAGTCTCTTTTCTAACTTACCACTATTCCTGCCCTGCTTCCTGAAACAACACTGCTGTGGGTAGGATGTGCTCATCTTCAAAATTAATACAGCAATAAGAATGTGCTAGAGTTTACACATCTGTTCAAAAAAAAAAAAAAAAAAGAAAAGTATAGAGCATACCATGAAGCAGAGGATGCGATAAAAGAACAGAGGGACAGAAAATGTCACCAGAATGGATGAGAAGGTTTGCTACATCAGAAACAGCCCAACACCCAAAGTAAAACCAAGCCAAAGTCTTGAAAGGAAAATAAAGACAAACACTGTCAAAAACTTTATTATGACTGTACACTTAACCTCATTCTGACATGTGTGAGATGATAGCTTTAAAAAAAAAAACAAAAAACAAAACACTGGGGCACCTGGGTGTTTCAGTCAGTTAAGTGTCTGCCTTTGGCTCAGGTTATGATCCTGGGGTACCGGGATTGCCCCCCCTCTTGGGCTCCCTGATGTCTGCTTCTCCCTCTGCCTCTTCCCTTCCCCCACTTGTGCTCTGTCTCTCTCTCTCAAAAACAAAACAAAACAAAACAAAAAAATTGGAAGAGATTGTTAAAATTCTAGTTGAGATTTTGCTGAATGTGAAAAACTATCCTGAAGTATTTCCCATTACCACTGAGAATTATGACATTAAACATTATTGCTATAAAACATTTTAATACACAAATTCCATCAAATTCACAGAATTGGAATATGTAGCTACTCTAAGTACAGTACAAAGAAATTTCACTTCTGATAAAAATACAAGTTTTCTGTTTCATTTTTAGCATTTTGACATCTATATATTTAGGAATTGAAGCAGACCTTGGGTATATTCAACTAATTTTGAGGGGACAGAGGGTGTAACCATTCAGCCATTCAATTAAAAGAGGAAATGCTTCAAAACCAAGAAATTACTCTTTTAAGACAGTTCTCTAATTTCCATATTCTTATTCCATAATGTTCTGTAATATTTAAAAAAAAAATACCTGGCTTTCAGGGCTTCTTAAACTTACAGATTTGATAATTATGTGTGTAATAAAAATTGCGGATGCTTCTATTTCATAGGGCATGAGTAGATTCGAAGAGTTTGTGTACAAGGCATCAGCAGAAATTACGTCTGTGAAAGAAAAACAAGTGAATCTGGAACAGGAAATAAAAGGAGAAGTGAAAGTACTGAATAACATCACTAATGATCTCAGACTGAAAGACTGGGAACACTCTCAGACATTGAAAAATATCACTTTAATTCAAGGTAAAATATTTTCTCATTCCTCCAGAAAATAATACATTAAAATACACTGTTATGTGCAGAGATTTGGTGTTTGAAATCCTATGGTACAAAATAGTTTTTGAGCATATGTTTACCACAGATGTCTGGAGAAAGTCATTTTGAGATCTTATCAAGACACGGTAAGATAACACTATCTTGGTGTTCTTTAATTGAAAGTGATAAAAAAATGTCTTTAAGGTCTAATGAGTCATTGTTCAAAATATCCTATATTAATGAAGATGAATACAAGTTTTCTATAAGGCACCAAATTCTCTACCTGTCCACAAATCAAGCTTGTTAATTCTGTTTTCCAAAACTTCCAGAGTCTTTTTTACTTCTTACCTGACTGTATGATTAATTAGAGAGATCTTTGAACTCTGTAAAATAACAATAGGTTTGTCAATTTCTGCTTTAGTTGCTATTGGTAAGCCATAGTAAATTGAATCTTACTGATTTTTAAATTAATATACACATCATACACATTTTTACTTTAGATTTTATTTACATTTTAAATATTTTCTCATATTTTACTGTTTTAGGCTTCTCTTACATAAAGAGCCCTTTTTTTAAAGCTTTTATTTCTAAGTAATCTCTATACCCAACATGGGGCTTAAACTCACAACCCTGAGATCAAGCGTTGCAGGCTCTACCGACTGAGCCAGCCAGGCGCCCCAAGAACACTTTTTAAAAAATGTGCAATCTAACCATTTCTTTTCACTGTACTTATTTCTACCATCTTATTTTGTGCTGTTTTTGTCCAGTTCTATGTTCCATTTGCTTTCCTTTCTTGTCGACTTTTGGATTGATTAAGACTTTTCTCATTGAATTTTTCTTTCCACCAAAGGTACCAAAAAAATTTTGGAGACTTTCTAATCTATTTCTGTTTGGTTGGTGGTTGTCCTTAAACTTTATCTTAACAAAGTCTAACGTTGATCGATATCTTCACCTTGATCCTAAATATACAGGGAACTTAAAAAACTTTGATGGCCCCTTTCCCTGATTTTCTGTTTTTGAGTATACTTTATTTCTATTTTATATAGTTTAAGAAAAACCAAGAATTTAGTCAGTATTATTTTTCTTACATTATATGGACAATATTAAAATTTGTACCTGAGTTTGCCAATTTTCCCTTCTTCTAAATGTGCCTCAACATCACTTCTGCGATCATTTTCCTTCTTCCTAAAGTATATCTTTTGAAGGTTCATTTAGTGAAAGTCTAAAAGGTGAGGCCTTTTGATTTCATTTTCTCAATTTTGTCCTTGATCTTTAAAATTGTTCTACTGCATACATATTTCTTGGGTTGACACCTATTCTGGTTATTTCGATCCATATTTTGAGGATATTTCCTTGGCTTTCCTTGCTGTTTTAAAAATGACTGCCAATCTGCCTGTCACCCTTCTTGTCTTCATTACCAGCAATTTCACTAGTTGTGTTTTTATATTGATAATTTATTCATTTTGCATTTGTTTTTACTTCTCATATTTGTGGATTTAAATCCAACATAAATTCAGGAAAGTTATCAGCTTCAGTCTCTGAATACTGCTTCTTCACAACCCTCTCTATCCTTTCTTCTGTAATTCTAATTAAATTCATGTTAGATCCCCTTATTCTAGCCTCCGTGTCTGTTAAACACTGATTTATAATTTTAATATTTTTATTGTATTAGTAATAAACGGAAATCCATGAGATTTTTATTACATATCACTAGTTTAGGAAAAAAAACACTTTGTCTAATATCCAAGTGTTTACAAGAAAAAAAATGTAAAGCAAATCACAGAAAACTATATATAGTACAATTTCGTTTCTAATGCTCACAATTTAGCAAAAGCAAATAATGTGGATTTATAGATGCTTACATATGTAATAAGAATGGTGGCTTGTAAAGTACAGGAAAGCGGGTGAGAAACACAAAATTCAGGCTAATGTTTTAACTCTGAAAAGGAAGAAGATAAATGAGATCAGGGAGCACCTAAATAGAGACCTATTTCTTGATTTGTGACGTCGCAGGGTTATTCTCTGTTTTATTGTGCTTTATAGCTTACTTATATGGAATGCATTGCATGTACTCTTTAATTATTAACACAGATGACAAAGAAAAATTTGAATTAATCAGCATTTCCTCTAACAATTAGACAGCTTCACTTTGGATTTCAAATAAGTATCCAAAATTTTATAAATCCAAAACCAAACCCTTGATTCTTGAGCATCCTACCCCATCCATGCCCCCACTCTATGGCTTCCCCAGCCTTATCAGCCGTATCATACAACTAGTTACCCACTCCAAGATCTCGGAAGCTCTTTGATGTCTTTCTGTCACTTCCTACATCTGATCCATTTATGAGTCCTGTTAACTCTTCTTACACAAAATATTTCGAATAAAATCACTTCTCGCTATCTCCTCTGCTACTACGGTAATTCAAGCGACTATACTTGTCTGATGCACTACATCAACTTCTCAGTTCCTCCTGATTCGACTTCTAATTCATTCTATATTATGGAGAGCAAAAGAGTGGTATTAAAAAAAGTTAGTAGATGTTTTAGCTCTCATGCTTAAGCCCCTTTGATATTCTTCCCATTGATTTGGAATAAATCTAAATTCCTACTTGGTCTGGAACTTGTCTACTTATCTGCCCTCATTTTCCCATTTCCCCTCTGGCATTCCCTCTGTCTAGCTTGGAAATCTGGAAAAGTGAAAGTGCCACTTAAAAGTATAAGTAACGAAGGAGGAAATGTTAGTTTCACTTCTTGCTGTCCGTAATGTGCACCACACTCCCGCTCTCTCGAAACATTCTTCTCTTAGAGCTCCAATCCTTCTTCAAAAACACCTTTTTGGAGGTTAGTTTTTCTCTCCCCATCCCTCTGTCATCATTCGCTTTAAATTCCTCACAGTACTTGTCACTTGATGAAATTTTCCATATACACATTGGCTTATTTGTTTAGCATACATCTTCTCTAATAGCATGTGAGTTCAGTGAGGTTGAGTTTCACCTCTCTTGTCAATCTCCCCCTACCCAGCACCTGTTAAAGGGCCTGCTCTACAGTGGGTGAGCAAATATATATGTATTGAATAAATAAGTGAAATTAGCACTTTCTTCTTATTGAGTCACACTGTAATGGCAGTGTCATTTTTCCAGATTTCCAACATAGCAATTTTAATTGTTTTTATTTTCTTCCGAGACTGCTATTAGTTCTTAGGTTCTATATTCTCTATCCCCTTGTTGATTCTTTATATTCTTGTGTAAACTTTTCTTATCACCACTCTACCAGACTATTGAAATAGTCTCCCAAATATTTCCTTCCTCATTTCTTTCTTTTCAGACTGTAATCCTATCTACATTCTTGTTAAAATGCAGCCTTTCTGAAGAGAAACCCTAGATTATAAGCCTATCACTTCCTCATTATACATTTCTCTCCAGTGGCACTCAGGGTCTTCTATAATGTGTCTTCTAACCACTTTTGAATATCTGATTCCCTCCCTTTTCCCTTTTTGATACCAAGTACTTCAAGTGATTTAACTGTGATTCTAACACCCAGTAGTTTTTATATCCTGCCTCATGCCTTTGCCTTCACTTGAAATATCGTATCTTCTATTTCTATCTGAAAATATCGTATCTCTCATTCAATGTCCATCTAATATGTGAAGCCTTCTCTAGTTCCATCAGAGTAATACTCTTCCTGACATCTGTATCTTGCTTAATATTAAATGTTATTCTTTCATCAGAGAAATCTTCACATGATAATCATCTTGAAAATTACCTTACATTGTCTTCTAGAGCAGTGTTGCCTCTTCTTGGAAACAATACATTCCTTAAAATTAGGGGCTGTTTTTTATATTCTCTACCAAATCTAGGCATAAAAGAAATTTTAACAAGTACTTATGAAACTATAACCCAAGAAAAACAAATTGTACAAATTAATGTGTTCCCTGTCATTTGTTGGTTGTAGGGTTAGCCATCTTTGTGTCCCCCCTTTTGATATTAACAGTTGCTAAGTAATCATGCAGATAAAAGAGACAAAAAAATTTTAACATATTTTCAAGTAATTATAGTCATTAGAGTCTAAAGGACTAAATGGAATTCCATCACTGCAATAGTGAAGTAGTTTGGCAGAGGGTGAGACATAGCATGATTTAAAGAAACAAAGTCGGTAAACATTCGAGGAGAGGAGTTAAGAGAAATAAAATACAATATGGCTCAGTGGTGAGAAAAGATAATGTGATGTTTATTTGAAAAGAGATTTTAAGCAAATTTTCTTTCCAGGATCTAAAAGCATATTTATATTCAAACATAAACATATTCATGTCAAGGAAGAAGAATAAACAATTGATGGAATATAAATTTGGAGATTTGTGCAATCAATTATCATGATTTAAAAAATAAAAGATGGTTGTCTTTAACCACTATGTAATGGAAAAATTCATCCCAGGAATAACAGAAAAACAGATGCCAGAAATGAAGTCAGTTAAGTTTAGAATAGGATAGCCTAGAATGTCAGGAAAGCAGTAGTCTAGTTCTGGTTTTACCCAACTAGCTTTAAGACCTTGGATAGTTTACTCTCTCTGACCCCTCTATATGTATGTTTGACTAAGAAATCTTTAAGGCCTCTTCCAGATTAAAGATAGATCTAAGTCAATGAGCATGAAAACTAAAAGAAAAAAAGAGGCAGGTTTAAGCAGCAATAGCCTAGAAGATTTGGTAGATTTTTATGATGACAGGGAAAGATTAAGAATAAAGTAGAAAATGTGTGATCATAATGAATAGGACACAGAGAAGCA